GGGCGGGCGCACGCGCCTGGCCCGAAGTTAACTTCCGGTCTGTGTTTGTTTATCAGTTATAAACGCAGTTAAAGTTAAGGTGATGAGTAGACTGAAGTTGGGCTCAGGTGGTTGTGCTGTGGGATGTGTTTCCCATACATTTATTTATTTGTGGCGCTCACAATATCAAAACTGACGGATTTTCCAAAAGGTACTAAAATATGACTAAAACTAAATCAAAATTTGCTGTCAAAATTAACACTGAATTCAACTGAAAAAAATATAAAAATAAAAACTAATTAAAAAACAAATACCATATTAACACTGGATGGATGTTAATTCCAACTAAACCCAGAAAAAGAGATGCAGACCTGCTGTGAGGGAGTGGAGAGGGCTGTGATCAGCTTGGCCACGATGGGTTTGACTTTAGGGTCGCTCTTGTCCAGATGTTTGGCCAGCGAGCCCATGAGGATGACCACGCTCTGCCGCACTGAGTCATAGGCAGTTAAAGTTAAGGTGATGAGTAGACTGAAGTTGGGCTCAGGTGGTTGTGCTGTGGGATGTGTTTCCCATACATTTATTTATTTGTGGCGCTCGGCACAATATCAAAACTGACCGATTTTCCAAAAGGCTTCGTTGAATAAACATGAGCACATACTGCACATTTAAAAATCATAACGAGGCACGGGTGTTTTTATATCACTGTATTTCTGAAGGAAGACTATCTTTAGAAAAATTTCGATGTCATTTTCATTTCATCTTGCATGTTATATGCCTGATAAAGCAGCGTTTGTGAGCTCAGCGCTGCTTTGTGTACAGCCGTTACCGGGGAAACCTCTGTTTCTCCCGCTTTAAAGAACCTCCTGCTGGAAGAGGATTAATTTGCATTTTCAGTAAGTCCGTCTGATTTCGGTAGCAAACTTATTTTGCTTTTCCTATATCCACAGGTGCTGCGGATAATCCGCGGGTCGGGTAAAAAAAAATGTATTCTGATTATTTGCGGGTGGATAAAATAAATCATAAATGATGCAAATATTAAAAAAAAAATTTTAATTTAAGAGCAGCCCACGATCAGCGTATTATGTTACAGTTATCCCTTACGGCTCCGACGAGGTTTTGTTCCGTCCTCCACGCTGTGACACCTTACAAAAGACTATTTTTATCCAAGCAGCGCGGAGAGCCGCGTCATAAACGTGCCGCAGCTGGCTGATAAACACAAGCACTGACTAGAGCAATCAGCTCCGGTTCCCGTGGAGCCGTAATGCGCCGCAGACGTGTGCAGTGAGGCGCAGATCAGCTCTAACGTCACTGAATCTTCTGTTAAAAATGAACCATCCATTCATCATCATGCAAAACATACACGACAAATAGCAAA